GTGTTTGTGTTGTGTTGATATTTTTTGTTTTTAATTAAATGAAACAAATGATTAAAAAAATAAGGTGTGGGAAAATAGGTTTAATCATCAATACAAAAGAAAAAAGGGGAGAAAAAAAGATTGCCATTGTAATGTTGGATATTTCTGTGCAGCTTTTGGAGAACAAGGGGGTCCGCGGGCCAAATGGCTAATGATGGAGCTGTGTGTGCGTGCGTGAAGGGAGCGTTGTCTGCAAGCAGTTTAGAGGAGGAGGGTGCGAGCTCAACATTTCCTCAGGCTCTGAGATGTAAAAAAATCAACAACATTCAAGCTGCAGTTTTTGAAATAATCTGCAAGACTTTCTTTTTCATGATATAAATAAGGAAAATGTATGTAATTTACGCACAGTCACGATGWGAATGAACATTATTTTGTTGAACGTGAAGTTATCTTAGAATTTTCAGTTTTATTTTAACATTTCTCAGAATATTCTTGAACATAAAATCTGATGCAGCGATTTGTCCTTGCCAGTTTTTTTTAACAACACTGTCCAGGATCAGCTGAGTTCTTGTTAGGGACTGTGTTCTTAGCTTTTTAGCTAAGAATTATTTTACARTTAAGTCCACTCTTAACAGCATTCCTATGAGTAATTCTAATAGTTTGATAAATATGAGCCCTGATGTCTAAACCAGCTTATTACCACATGAGTGTAGATTTCTTCTCTGCTGTAAACATTGGCGGTGGTTCCAGCAAACTCCAGCAGCTCACGAGACTGGTCCACAACCAGCGAGGGGCGGAGCTTACACAACCTCAGCAGGTGGCAGCTGAACACTCTGCAGGACCAGGAGYAGAAAAACTGAGACACAGACTTTGAGACGATGGGCAGAGGTGAACAGGTTCAGGTCTACCTGTGAACCTCCCTGCTGTATGTGGGGATGCTCAGGAGGAGGCTGCTTCTCTCCAGCATCACCAGGATCAAATGAGCTAAAAGCTTCTCATCAGCCACCTAAAACATGAACACAGATGTAACGTACACATCTGGATATTAGACTCAGACATTCATTTCACAGTTGTAGCTAAAGGAATTGCAGAAATTTGCTGAAGAAGCTGAAACTCAGTTGAAGCAGAACATTAACTAAAAGTAGCAAAAAGCTYACTACAAGCAGAAAAGGGCAAGCGAAATTGTAAAACTAGCAAAAGCCTAGCTAAAAGTATTAAATGATAGCTAGAAGTTAAAACTAGCAAAAGGCTGAATAAAAGCTGGAGGAAAAAAATGTTGGCAAAAARCTATAAGATAAGTAGAAGAACATTAGCTACAAGCTAATAGTAGCAAAAAACAGCCAAAATCTGAAAGCAGCCTAACTCAAAGCTGAATGTAGCAAATGTCAAGCCTAAGGCTAAAAGCAGCAAAAGCATAGATAGAAACTAAAAGTAGCAAATGGCTAACTAAAAACTAAAAGTACAAAAATACTAAATGCTAAAAATGTTTGAACAGTAGCTACAAGCTAATGATAGCAAAAGGCCAGCTAAATGCTGAAACTAGCAAAAGGCTAACTAATAGCCAAAAGCAGGAAAAAGAAAAAAGCTAAAATTGAAAAGTAGCATAAAAAATAAAAATAGAGCTAACATGCTGAAGCAGATTTCAAAGAGAATGTATTTTAATCTCAATGTATTTCTATAGAGCAGGGGTGCCCAAACATTTTTCCTGAGCGGGCCAAAATTAAAATCAATCTGAGGGCCGCGGGCCAAATGCAATAATATAAG